GAATAATATTACTGCAAAAAACTAAGAGAAAATCAATCAAAGACATTGAAATAATTAGGTAATAATATATTTGTGGCAACTGCCATCTGACAGCTCGGGCGGAGTAGACCTCGTCTGGCGAAGGCTCTGCCAACGCCCCTTTTTTACCAGGTTTCCCTACCCTATTGCAGCTAAAATATGCCACCTACAATTTTTTTGTTATTTTTTTCTGTGATCAGGGAACAAAAATGAACACTTCTATAAGACGAAAGAATTTTTTGGATTTTTTTTTGTTGCACCTGTGGGTGTTAATTCCATTTGGGCCCCTAGTGATTTGAGGGTTAAAACCCCTTCCCTGATTACAGAAATGTAAAAATAAACTCAAAATTGTACTTACTTTAGCTGCAATGGGGTCTGGAAAATGGTGCGTGACATCATGAATTGCTGGTCGCCCCTAGCATAGACTCCCGGGGGCAGTCACACGCTACGTTCAAGATTCACGAGTTGCCACAAATATATTTTTATTCATTTTTTGTGCCAAGTTCTAAATAGATTTGTTTTGTTTTTTCTTGCCAATCCTATGTATAATGAACACGTTGGCGGTCTCCTTCCTGATTTTACTAGATACATATTGAAACAGTTGAGCACTGTAACATCTATTTTGAAAAAGAAAAAAGAACTTTCTGGGGGGGAGCCCCGTTGGCTCCCTGGAGCTTTCCCAGGCTGATATGCTAATGTCAGACTTTGGCATCAGTCATGTGTATGGAGTTCTTAGGCCTACCAGGGACCACGGCCAGAACCGGGCCCCCTCAGAGAGGCAGGGGGAGCAATGGCCTATAGAAACCCCCGTGTGGTTGGAAGTGTTCTATGTCTGCCATCGACTGGAACAGGCACCCAGAAAGGTAAGCGCCTCAAAACAAACCCCTATTCTGGTTAAAATTGCTACCAAAAGCCGAACTAGTGGATAGAACTCCCCAACAGAAAACAAGCAAACTAGTGTGACATCACACATCGCCGCACCCTGTCTGCGCAGTTCCCCCCTCTCTGGGAGCGGGAAGGGGGAGCCCCAGACCCTTCACGCCGGCAAGCCACACCTCAGTTTTGAGGCTGGATGTCAAAAACACAGAAACACAAAAATCACAGTGATACAAAAAAGAACAATGTCGAACAAGTTTGGACTTGATAAACCTGAAAAGAGTAGCAACGTGTTCGCATTGTGTGGCATGCACGGCTAACAAACGACTTAGTTTTTTATTTGGTGCCGGCATCACGTTAGCTTTGATGACATGTTATACGTATGTTCCTCTAGAACATTTCATTGAGACCACATTGATACCAAAATGAAACACGTACATCGAAAATTACAGTCAAAAACATGAAAAAGAGTATAAACTTTTCAATAGGAGTGTAGCCGATGTGCAGTTGGGCGTGCGGTAGCAGGTATCCCTTGGGCAACTTCCCATGGTCTTGAGGGTGGGGCGTGCCCATGTCTTGTACGTTATATTCATATGTCTGTGTAGGGAATTTTATTGGGATCGCAGTAATACCAAAATTAATGACATAGAACAATTCTGGGGTTGACAAACCTGAAAAGAGCATAACATCTCATCGCTGTTTGGTGCTCACGGCTAACGATCACCATAGTTTTTTATTTGGTGCGGGCCTCATGTCGGCTTTGGTGAAATTTTATATATATATATATATGCGGAAAATCCACAGAGAAATATGAAATGAGGTGAACGTTTCGGCTAGTTAAAGCCTTTGTCAACACCAGACTGACTAAGGAGAAGGGAGAAGGGGGAGGATATATAGGCCGACACCTGACCAACTCATCCCTAGGGTTTGGTCAGGTGTAATTAACCAAAAACAGGTATAACTTAGCTTAGAATGGTCAAAGAGGATTAAGCGGTTAGAGAATAAGGATGAAAGATTAAAGAAAAACCTCATGAACACACAATATATGAATATACAATTATAATGAGACATTGTAAGCCTCTCTATCAGAGTTGTTTCTTAAACTGTTGTGCAATATTATAACTTAAAAATGGATCAAGTTTGTACATTCCAGTACTAACATTAAGAAGATTTGGACACTGACTGATTAGAGCAGACTCAATCAAATTCCGTTCCACGAAATCCCCACAATTGGTAATGCTTTTTGCCCCATTCCAGTTAATATTGTGATCGCATAAACTCGTATGTAGATACAATGCATTAGACGTTTGGGCAGTTCTAATACTATAAGCATGTTGTGACAACCGCAATTGTAAGGACTTTCCTGTTTGTCCAAGGTACACAGAATCACAATCATTGCAGGGAATCGAATACACACAACCTGCTGTATCAGGGGAGTTTTTTATTAAATTGGATTTGATCGTACTATTAGTGAACACCAAATTTATATTAAGTTTCTTAAAAATCAGAGACAATTTTTCAAGTTTTTCAAGTCGACATATGCGTTAACAACACTCCTCTTGTACCTGTCTGGGCAGTCGCTGTTGGCATCTACACTAAGGAAACGAACATAGGAATGTGCCTAAATGCCAACAGCGACTGCCCAGACAGGTACAAGAGGAGTGTTGTTAACGCATATGTCGACCGTGCTCTCAGCCACAGCTCAGAATGGAAGCAAGTCGACGAAGAACTCTGTAGGGTAAGGCAGGTCCTAGTCAATAACGGCTTCTCCAATGGTTTCGTCGAAGACATCATAAGAAGGAAAGTGAAAAGCCATGCAACCTCTGAAGAGACAACTAACACAACACCTATACCCCCTATTAGACTATTTTACAGGAACTTCTTTTCCACAGCTCATAAAACGGAGGAAAGGGTCCTGAAAGATATTGTTAATAGAAACGTTATCCCTACAGACAAAAATCAGAGGATACAACTGACGATTTACTATAAAACCAGAAAAACGGCCAGCCTACTCATGAGAAACTCTCCAGACACAAAACAGAACACTTTAAAAGAGACTAACATCGTCTATGCCTTCAAATGCCCTCTTGGGGACTGTAAGCTCCAAAAAACCCAGTATATAGGCAAGACAACAACATCTCTTTCTAGGCGTTTAACGATGCATAAGCAACAGGGCTCCATTAAGGAACATATAATCTCTTCCCACAACCAAACCATCGCCAGAGAAATCCTAGTAAACAACACTGAAATCATCGATAGATACAGCGATAGCAGGCGGCTTGACGTTTGCGAGGCACTACACATCAAGAAGTCAACACCAGCAATCAACAGCCAATTATTGCACAACTATATTCTACCCACCTCAAGACTCTGCTCCAATATAGAAGCATCAAGAAATATGGACCAATAGGCTTTCTACAAACACTTCTATTCAAATATCCATTGTTTCGTGTTCTGTCTTGTGTTGATGAAATTAATACCCTATTAATACCATCTTGTTCTGTCTTGTGTTGATGAAATTAATACCCTATTAATGCCACATCTTGTTCTGTCTTGTGTTAATGCCACATCACCCCTTCCACCTCACTCAAAGGTAGATATAAAATCGGAGATGCGTAAGTTCTATTCAGTTGTGTATTTGTGAACTAAAGTCTTTGAAAATGTAATAAGTTTTACGAAACGCGCTCGTGTCGCGTCAGACTAGAAATAAAAATGAATTTTGGAGAATTGATTTTTGATTTACCTCCAACAGTGAAAAGAAATGTACGAAAGATTGAGAGAATTCGTGTTAGAATTATTAATCTTACTTTTTCGGTCATATTAATAATATATATATATATATATATATATATATATATATATATATATATATATATATATATATATATATATATATATATATATATATATATATATACAGTGGCACCTTGACTTACGATTGCCCCTACTTACGATAATTTTGAGTTACGATGTAAATTTCATCGAAAAATGCGACTCGATATCCGATAGTGTCGTCGACTTACGATTTTTGTTGGTACACGTTCGGGTCGACTGAGAGCATGGTTCCCGGTCACACGGCCGACTTGCCTCAGTTTACTACAGCTGCCCGCTTAGTGACGATCACGCCTATAAGAAATTTCGCTTTTGTGGTGATATTTTGCATTTTGAATATTAAAGTAATTATTATATATCATGCCAAGAGTCCCAGGAAAGTCAGTAGTAAGGCTCAACATATGAGATCCCATGTAAGGTTGACCATAGAGCAGAAACAAGAGATCATTTGTAAATATGAAAATGGTGTGTGGGTTGTTGGCCTGGCTAGGCAGTACAACAAATCTCAGTCAACGATATCCACCATACTGGCTAAGAAAAAGGACATTATGGGTGCTAAAGTGATGCATCATTACAGACAAATGTTAAAATGAAGGGAAAAACAAATGTCTCTTGACAAATTTGTAGTGAGACAAACAAGCACTGAACCACAACCAGGTCCTAGTGGTATTCAGGCAAAACGTAGGAGAGAGAGTACCCCAGAGAAAACATCATTGCCTGATGTGATAATGGAAGGCGACTTCCCTTCCAAACAGTAACAACTCTCCTCCTTCCCCCTCATCACCATCTTCCATATGCCATCAAGAGCCCTCCATAAAGGTAAGATAAACTTAGGTACTGTATTGTAGTTAGAAAAAACATTGTATTCAGTATAACATGTATTTGTATGTTAATATTTTGGAGGGTGGGGAACGGATTAATTCAAATCCCTTTATTTCTTATGGGAAAAATTGCTTCGACTTTCGATCCGTCTCTGGGAACGGATTAGCATTGTAAGTCGAGGCCCTATTGTATATATATTTTTTTTACTGTATCTAGCCAGCTATTTTATGGAGACTATAACTTGCCATTTCATACTAATAGAATTGCATGCAATAAACATCTTAAAGACATTGTTATACTGCCATGATATAAATACTATGCACACAGGACACTGAGGTAATTACTTAGGTAATTACAGGACACAAATTTACCTAAAATTGCTATAACACCAAGAATACTATGACAGTTACTAGCATTCATCCAAAGAACTTATGACAAAAAAAAATACTTACTCTTTTATTACTAGATTAGATCTTCTTTCAGGATCTCCGTTCATTATTCTAAGTGGACGCATTGGGATCCCTTCATCGTCCTCACCCAGGGATTGAGAGCTACAGAGGAGAAGGGCAAGTAGGAGGGGGAAATGAGCAAGTAGGGTTACATGCAAAAGGCAAAACATCCCTGCATGGAAGCTGAACTCTCTTACTCATAAATAATTGTCTGGTATCATTCAACAAACATATATTCAGTATATTATAGGGTGTGTTTTATGTGCTTTTGTTTGGCATGTAATTACATTACCAAAGTGTAATTTCCTAAGTGTAGTTACAGCATGAGAGCCACACTTGTGTAGCATCCCAATACTCTATCATATGATGCTTCAAAACTACTGATGATTTTAGCATTCACCATCTTCTCACCTGTTCCAATTACAGTATTTACAAATCACTTCACTACAGGGAACTTTGTTATATTTTTGGCACATTTGTTTCCTAAGCTTTAACCTGTGGCATCTTGTTGAAGTTACAAGACTCAAACATTGTTCCTTGTCCATTTTGTCAATTCGTTACTGTTTGGTACATTCATTACTCTTGAAACCAAATTTTTCAACCGTTGCCTTTTCACCATTCTCTTTGAGACATGGACTCAACATTTACAGATGTCCCTGTGGACATTACCATCAACTTTAACCCTTAAACAGCGCAAATCATACATATATGATTTGCATATTTAATTAAAATAGTCCTACACATACATAGAGCTCACATCTGCTACCTCAGACCACCAGTAACCATCCCCCATCTTGAAAAAAAATCCTGAGTCCCTCACTTTCCTTCTAGGGCCTTTGTGAGAAAATTATGACCATTGCTTGCCAACATCACCATCCAGTATCTGAATGTTTAGGGCAGTCATAGAGGAGACACTAAACTTTTAGCAACAGCAAATGAGTGATTACCATGTATATATTTGAGGCAAAATGTGTGCTATATGCAATTTTAAGATTTAGGCTTAAAATATATTTATACAAGTATTATTATGAATAAGTATGTGGGTGTCTTTATATCTTTACTTGTATATCCATACATACTTATATTTTCAAAGTTTTACATAATAGACAGTAACTTTGACACACAAATACAACCTGTTAGCATGAAAAGACTAAATTAATAAATTGAGAAACAATGAAAATAAATGAACAATGTGTTTTCTATGCGGCACCTCAACTAAAAATATGCAACTTCTCCAGGCCACTATAACTAAACCACAAGAGCTAGAGACTTTTTATTTAGATTTTTGTGCTTCCCGAAGGCTAATTAACAATGTCATAAGAAAAAATATTTTTTCAGAACAATTTTTTTCTTGAGCGCCCTGGGGATGCTTGAAATTTAACAGTTTGCGGTTTAAGGGTTAATCTTAGAATCTACCATGACAATTCTACTATAAAGCTAGATATATCAGAGTCTGCCCTTCGAAATCTCCTGGAGATTTACACTATAATGTTTCAACCATTTGTATTAATATAGTATTTTTGAAATAATGATTAGGTTATGGATGAAAAAATTTCTGACTGATAAAAAAAAATGAGGGCAGTAATCAGAGGCAATGTATCGGACTAGAGAAATGTCACAAGTGGAGTACCACAAGGTTCAGTTCTTGCACCGGTGATGTTCACTGTCTCCATAAATGATCTAGCAGTTGGAATACAGAATTATATGAACATGTTTACTGATGATGCTAAGATAATAGGAAGGATAAGAAACTTAGATGACTGTCATGCCCTTCAAGAAGACCTGGAAAAAATAAGTATATGGAGCAACCCTTGGCAAATGGAATTTAATGTGAATAAATACCATGTTATGGAATGAGGAATTAGGAGAACATAGAGCCCACACAACCTATAAAATATGTGAGAAATCTTTAAAGAATTCTGATAAAGAAAGAGATCTAGGGGTGGTTCTAGATAGAAAACTATCACGTGAGGACCACATAAAGAACGTTGTGCGAGGAGCCTATGCCACGCTTTCTAACTGCAGAATTGCTTTTAAATACATGGGTGGTAAAGAAATTGTTGATGACTTTTGTTAGGCCAAAGCTAGAATATGCAGCGGTTGTATATCTTAAGAAGAACATCAACAAACTGGAAAAGGTGCAAAGACATGCTACCAAGTGGCTCCCAGAACTGAAGGGCAAGAGCTACGAGGAGAGGTTAGAGGCATTAAATATGCCAAAACTAGAACACAAAAGAAAAAGAGATGATATGATCACTGCATACAAAATAGTAACAGGAATTGATAAAATCGATAGGGAAGATTTACTGAGACCTGGAACTTCAAGAACAAGAGGTCATAGATTTAAACTAACTAAACAAAGATGCCGAAGAAATATAAGAAAATTCACTTTCGCAAACAGAGTGGTAGACGGTTGGAACAAGTTAAGTGAGAAGGTGGTGGAGGCCAAAACCGTCAGTAGTTTCAAAGCATTATATGACAAAGAATGCTGGGTAGACGGGACATCACGAGCGTAACTCTCATCCTCTAACTACACTTAGGTAATTACTAAAATGATTCTATTCACAACCCTTTGGGAGAACATTTATATGCAGATAGATACAGGTAGCCATGGGGTCCCCACGAGGAGTTCTCTTTGGTAACTTTTATATGGGAACACTAGAAGACAGTATCTTCATTTCCATAGGAAAACCTCACATCTACTGCAGATACATCAATGACATATTCATGTGTGTATGTGTGAAAAACCTCCAGGAAATGTTAGGAATAAAAGATCTTCTTACTAAACACTCGGTACTTAATTTTATCCACAGAGTAGACATCGATGGTACGCTCCCATTCCTCGATGTCTAAGCAAGAACCAAAGACAATCATTTTCACCATGGAAGTTTATACAAAACCTACCAACATGGGAATGTGTGTGAATGGCCACAGTAAGTGCCCAAATAGATATAAAAATAGTGTGATAAACTCGCATATACACATAGCCCTTACACATTGTTCTGACTGGCAGAACATACGTAAAGAATTGGAAAGAAGCCTTCAAGCATTAATAAACAATGGATACATGAATAGAGAAGATAACACCCATATAAGAAGATATTTAGAAATGGTACAATGGAAAACAACAACCTCAACAGCACACAACACTCCCATAAAACTATTACAAATCCACTAAGAGTTCACTGTATAAAACAGAAAAAAAGAATGTAATTTAAAATGGAGTGAAAATGACAGCCCCAGACCAAAAATTGAACTTCATTATCTATTACCAAATAAAAAGGATTATTGAAATAATATTCAAGAACAGCCCCAATAAACAATACAACCCTCTCCAAAAGGCACACCTGGTATACAAATAAAATGCCCCAGTGAAGCATTGAAAACCCCTGTGCCCAAATGTCTACCCAAGACATGACCTCAAAAATGGCTGTGAGAGACAGGGAGGAGGATATGGAGAGCCACATCCAAATCAAATGCGTACAGGGAAGGATATGTAAACCCCCTCTCATGTAGAAACAATCCCTGCCCATAAGACACAAGGGCCCAAGCAGAATAAAAAGGACTGCAAGAGCTCCTAGCAGACTTCTACCCCCTTCCCTGAGCCCCGGGAACCTCTGACACAGGTCCCGGGGCAGAGCCCCGAGACACAAATTTACAATCAAAATTTACTGTAATTTGTAAAAATTATAATATGTAAATTTATAGTAGATTTAGTATTTTACTGTTCTGTAATTGATTACTTTATTGTATCTTGACTCCATTTTATCTATATGCAAACTGATATTGACCCTGAACTATATCTACTGTCACAAATCCACAATAACCAGCATACTGATCATCACTACTGCAGGTATTACACAGCAAACCTTGCAAAAAACCAGCGTTGAATGTAATGAAACGCCATTTTCTGGGTGAGCCCCGTTGGCTTCCTGGAGCTTATTGAGCTAATGTATGTTATATTAGACTAGGACATTAGCTATGGAGTTCAGATCTACCAGGGACCAGTGCCAGAACCTGGACCCCCCAGAAAGGTTTCAGGGAGCAATGGCCCTAGAAAACCCCCTTGTGGTTGGGGGTTTTCCTTATCTGCCATCGACCGGGGTTAGGCACCCAGAAAGATAGGCATAACAAAACAAACCCCCACATGGTAAGAAACTAACACAAAAAACGAATAGAGAGGTAGAAACTCCATACAATCCCAAGGAAACAAGCAAACTTCACACTTTACTGCCGTGCTGCTCGTCCGCGCAGCTCCACGCCCCGAGAGGGGGTGGCCCGGACTTCACCTCACCAGCTGCCTAGCACCAGTTCGGAAGCTAAGCTTCAACCAACGTGAAAAAAACGCTGACCGGTGGGAGGGAGGATATCCAGGGGAGCCTCTGGGGCTCATCCAGAAAATGGCGTTTCATTACATTCAATGCTGGTTTTCTGTGGGGAGCCCCTATGTATGGCTCCCTGGAGCTTCATACCCAAAAAGAAGGAAAAGAAAGGGCTAACCCGGGAGGCGGCCACCACAAACTCCGCGACACGAAGTTGAGACAACAGGCAGCAACCTGCAACCCAAAGCAACACAAGAACGCACAGGAGCAGACATGCTCTCAAAAGAGCGAGCGGCCAGGAGCCTGTGCGACCCCTAAATCCTCGTACCCAAAATGAGCCCAAGACGTCACCAAACACGGCAGCGAAAGCTGCAAATGTCCAAACGACATGAGTGCAAGGATAGTCTGCAGGCTGGTAGACTTAAACCTACAGATGACCTGGGAGACCCGAGCCCTGAAACAGGGAACGAGGGGAACTGGATCAACCCAAAGTGCATCCCCAGCCACGGCACGCAGGTAACGGCGAAGAGCCGCAACAGGACAACACATGTCGCACTCCCGGCCGAACCAACCAAGCATGAATAACCCAAAGACCATTCTGGAAAGCAGCCATCTCGACTGTCGCGAGAAGGATGGAGAAAGGCTGCAAGCGAACAAACCTACCACCAGTACCAAAAGAGCAGAAACCTCTGAGCAGGAGAGCTGGAGGATCTTCGATCCGACCCACAGAGGCCAATGCCAACAAAATATGGCCTTTGAAAAACAATCTTGAACCGAAGG